TTCTGAAAACTTAACATGTGGTGACTATTCTATCATAATTGTGCTTCACAGGAATAAAAGAGGTCATACAGAGAGGAGGACTATCAAATAAGGAGTTAAGAGGTCTGTATCTCTCCACAACAGCCTGAAAACAGTAATGTGCTTGTAGAGCTTGACCCTCAACCACCCAACCAAGCAAGTTATAATATTTTGCTTTAACAGAGGGAGTAACCCATAATGAATAGGCAATGCTGTGACTCCAGCCAGTATGTTCCTTGGCTGATAGTACAATAAATGAGCAGAGTAATCTCCACTTGAGAAATGATGAGGAAATTATGATGAATGCCCAAAATGTACTCCAAAGAGCCAACTCCTGAGGAACTATAACCCAGCATGGTCCCACCCACTCCCACCCACATCTCCTACAGCTTAGCTGCACAAGTGCATCTCCACATTAAGTTCAATCCCCTCACAGTGTTTAAATTTTTTCTCAGCACTAACTTCATTGTTTTGTTTCAAATGTCCACATCTTCTCCTGGAGTCCATTAGAGGCTGGAAATCACATAATCCATCTTCTCTGACTGTTGCTACTCTAGACTCAAACAGCCTCTGAGGATGTACTTAGAACACGAAGGTCACTGTGAAAAGTCGACTACAGACATGAATGAAACTGAAACATGCTAGTAAGTTCTTTACTATTTTTATTTAACTAATGGGTCAATTTATCAGAAAAAAAAATGTTTTTTTAAAGAAAGGAGATTCACTAGTATTTTCAGTGCCAAGACAAAATTTAAAATATGCTATCATGATAATCTGAAGATCTACATAATACAAAAAGGAAATTTTATCGGATGGAAGTGTTTATGGTTTTATAAAAGGACATAGAAGTGAAGGTTGGAAACCACAAGGTTTAGAGTAGAGTTATGACTAAGGAATTGAATGTAAAATTTGCTTTAAAAAATTATGAGTATAATGAATACATTGCCTTTTTTTAAAAAATATATTTTATTGATTTTTAACAGAGAGGAAGGGAGAGAGATAGAGAGCCAGAAATGTCGAGAGAGAAACATCGACCGGCCGCTTCCTGCATACCCCCCACCGGGGATGTGCCTGCAACCAACGTACATTCCCTTGACCGGAATCGAACCTGGGACCTTTCAGTCTGCAGACCGACGCTCTACCACTGAGCCAAACCAGTTTCGGCTACATTGCCTTTTTGAAGGTCACTATAAGTATAACTTTTTAAAAGTAGCTAAGTATCTGATAATTAAATAATATTTTTTTCAGATAGTATTATAGAAAAGGGCACTAAAATCCTCTAATTATGATGTGACTGATTAACAACATTAAAAGGTTCAGTTGGGTTCCAGTTACATGACAATACACTTTTTTATGTATTTAAAAAAAAAAAACTTGAATTTTAAAAACCAATATAGTTATATACATTAATAGGTATATACATACTATCCTACCTAATAAAAGAGTAATCTGCACATTAACCATCACTCCGCTACATCCACAAGTCTGCCCACCAGCCAATCAGAGCGAGTATGCAAATAAACACAACCAAGATGGCTACAACCACAGAGAGCAGGCTTGGATTTCCCAGGCAATGGAAGAAGCCAAGCTTTCTGTCTGCCTTTGCAGGCCTAGGCCTCCACTCAAGGCTACAAAGTTTCAATTATAGAAGGTAAACAAATCCAAACAGAAATAGCTGCTGGCCAAGGAGTGAGCAGGAGGCTTGGCTCCTCTCCAGGCTACAAAGTTTCAATTGTAGAAGGTAAATAAATTCCAGATACCAAGGCCTCCACTTGGGTCACCAGGGGGCGTGGCTGACCTGCAAACCACCACAGGTCTCTCGCCTACATCGCCTCACACCCCAAAGTTACCCCCACCCTGATCTGGGACACCCTTCAGAGCAAACCAGCTGGCCCCCACCCACGTACCAGGCCTCTATCCTATCTAATAAAAGAGTAATATGCAGATTGACCATCACTCCAACACACAAGATGGCTGTCCCATTGTGGTCAAAATCCTGCCCCCATGTGGATTCAAGATGGCCACCACAAGATGGCCAGCAGGGGAGGGCAGTTGGGAGGCCCCAGGTCTATAAGGTAGGGCAGTTGAGAGGGACTAGGCCTCAAAGGAAGGACAGTTGAGAGGGACCAGGCCTGCAAGGGAAGGAAGTTGGGAGGCATAGGCCTGCAAGGGAGGGCAGTTGGAAGCGATCAACCCTGCAGGGGAGGGCAGTTAGGGGTGACCAGGCTGGAAGAGGAAGGAAGTTGGGGGCAAACAGGCTGGCAGGGGAGCAGTTAGACATCAATCAGGCTGGCATGGGAGTGGTTAGGGGGTGATCAGGCTGGCAGGCAGAAGCAATTAGGGGCAATCAGGAAGGCAGGCAGGCCAGCAATTGGGACCCAGCAGTCCTGGATTGTGAGAGGGATGTCTGACTGCCCGTTTAGGCCCAATCCCACCGGGATGAGAGAGGGTGCAGGCTGGGCTGAGGGACATCCTCCTCCTCTTGCCCCTGTGCACGAATTTCATGTACTGGGCCTCTAGTATTCATATAAAAGATGACCTTAAAATTTAAAAATCAGAGAAACATAATGATGGCATTTTTATACAAGTATTTTAAAAAGACTAAGATTCTGATTATTGTCTTACTTAGTTACTAGTCCACGGGTACATTTGATAAAGGAGTGAAAATAACTATGATAGAATGGGTGAAGAAGAGAAGGGCTGAAATGCAGGGAGTGGTCAACATTCTCCTTTCCCAGGAGAGAAGAGATGATCTCTTGGGCTCCAAAGACCGGCCCTTGAGTTCACCGCAAGTGCTTTCTCCCAGCAGAGGCTCACAGACTCATCTAAAAGCACTGAGTGGGGTACAACTGGTCCTCCTAAAAATGGGACAATGACTCTCCTAAGATTATTTAAGCTTTTTAATACAGGTTTAACTGTATAAGAGCTAATATAATTCTTGATGAGGAAATCAAATACAGAAAGGCCTGCTAATAGGCAAATTGCTTAGATTACTCCAATTCCCAAATATAGGATATCAGTAATAAAGATAAGAATATACATACATCAAACTGGTTATTGATTAAAATACAGTGTCATACAGTCCCTTTCAAATAACATACTAATTAACTCAAAGAAACATGCCTCTCATTCATCCAGAATCCTAACCATCATCAATAAATAGAAATCGCCTATAACATCTAATAGTGACTAACTGTCCAATAATGACTGAGGTAATATAAAATTAACAAATTCACAACTTAATCTTTAAAATGAAGAAATTAGAAGCATTTTATATGCAATATATTTTAATTCTCTGTAAATTATAAAGTATGTTAAAATAAAAATAAAAATGGTTAACCAGAATAATAAACAGTATTCCCCCCAATTCTGGATTAACAGGAGCTCATTCTGTACTTTGTTATAAGTTAAAATATATAAAATGATTTTCTAAAAGGACTCCCTACAAACCAATTTATAAATAGACTCCCATTTACTAACAAAAATAAAACCTCTACCTCAAACCAACGATGGCAATGATTAACAATTTAAGAGGAACAAAATGAACAATAATCTTCTACTTTGCAATTACATTTTCACACATTTTCATAACTAATTAAACCAATTTCTAAGAATGAGCTATATTCATACTTAAATAAACTATATATCTATATATTGCAAATAACTTGTGGCTTGTGAAACATAACACACATCCTATACTTCTCTCATTTTACTCTAATGGTAAGTCTAAAGATATATTGTCAATGTCATAAAATCTAAACCATGACTTAAGCTTTTTCATATAAGAAGGTATGTTATCATTTTGGCAATTTTAGTCTATTTAGTTTTAATGTCATCATTCTTCAGAGCTCATCTTCTCTGTGATTCTGTCATATGGGAAATATGAGCGAGCTAAGCCCTAGCTTGTGTGACCAGCAGCATGGTGTCCGGGGAAGAGGCTACAGGGCCACACTGGCCATTTATAAATAGGGAACCTGTCCTGTCAGTCAGCACTACCCCACGGTCCATATTGAGTGTGGGGCATTTTTCTAATACAAAAGAGAGAGAGAGAGAGAGAGAGAGAGAGAGAGAGAGAGAGAGAGAGAGAGAGAGAGACTCTGACTGACTCACTCTCCCACCTGAATGTGATCTTCACTGATTCTCTAATTTTTCTCTAATATTTGGAATGTTAGAGAAACATTTTCTCTAATGTTGGTAACAAACACAAAAACAGATTAAATTTGACTATGGATTTTTATGTCTTTTGCATTTGCTTGAAACTAGAGGTGACTAGATTTCAGCATTAGGGTGCCACTGAAGCATAAGATAAATTATTATCTCGATATGGGGTGGAGGTGGGATGAAGGGAAATAATGACAGAAGATTAACAAAGCAGATGGGGCCAAGAGAGTTCCTTCCAACCAGGACACACTGGGGAAGAAAGATAAAACCAGCCAGGTTTTAGGGTGGGCTCCTTTGATCTGAGGTGAAGAGTTGAGGGATACTGATGCTGTGACTTAAACTAGCTGACTCTTCCTCTTTTTCTGCCCTTCCTTCCTTTTTCTCTTAGAAATAATTCCATATCCCCAGAGTAAAAGCTGCTCTAGAATAGAATGATGTGTTCTAGTATTCTCTATTCATTTATAAATAAACTGCTTAACAATTTTGTTCAGAACAGCTGTTATACTTTGCATTCAAAGGAGAAAAAAAGTATGTTCTGATCTTAATGTGTCTGACCAATTTTCTTAGTGTCATGAATATTCAACTAATATAACAACTTAAATTTTCTAAACAAACTTGGTATAAATTCCCTTTGATAATATCAATTAAAATACTCTATCACTACAAGGCAATTACTACAAATGGTTATTAATAAATCATGTAAGAATACTATGAATTAACTGCCACCAAGGCAACACGTCACATGATAGTTTTAAAATGGCATAATTACAAATACTATAAAGCCACAGTGTACTACTTTGGAAAACAACTAGTCTACTTACTACTTATACGTCTCTGAACGGATATATTCAAAAACGTGGGACACGCCAAGTTGGAACTGGTCAGCAATCGGGGTAACCCAAGGATTGTTCTCTGCTTTGAATACTTGTTTCTGACCAGTCAGATCCAGGTTTCCTGAAAAAGATGGAAAAGAAAAAGATGAAGGCCCTTTCACCCTACACAGATCAGGACTAAGAAGTCCTGAGTAGTAACCACAGCACAAGCCTAAGTACCTTTTGGTTCACTTGATTTGTTTTTAAAAATTGCTTACCCCAAGTCATTACTGATAAACAAGTAATTAGTACCATAGACCAAGAAATGAAGAACAAGGGAAAGAAGGAGGGAGAGAAGGAGTAGAGGGAAGGAAGTAGGACGAAGGTAAACCTGGAAGGAATTCTTACATAGGTATTATAGTATATGCTTTATTTTTTCTAGTTATTTGCTACAGAGACTAACTAAAATGCCCCCATCCAAAATGAAGTGCTATTAGAACCTCCTGAAATTCTGTCTTGACAATGTGAATCACTGCTTGTTCAATCTGATCTAGATCCATTTGATCAACATCACCGTTTTTCATCAGCCAAAGAACAATATGAATGAAGAAAGATAAAAATACTGCCCAACTAAAATTATTATTACGTTTCTCAGGTACCATAAGAACATCTCAGAATCAGCACCAAATGGATTTAATTAACATGGTTATCACAGAAACTCACATTTGTATAGTCCTCATCAGTTTACACATTCAAAGCATCTCTACATTTGATTCTCCAGCAATCCCGAATCCACTTATTAACATCACTTTACAGGTGAGTAAATAGAAATGTGTGGAAATCTTTAACAAGATCAGAAAATGACAGTGGGGCTATGAACCTGACTCCTAACTCCAAATCTCATATTCTTTCTATAAAGTCTGGTGAAATTATCAAGTTACATCAGTCTAGATCAACCGAAGATGAGTTAATGAAGTAGCATCAAAAAGCCAGTAAGTGCCACCATCTGTTGATGATCAGTCGACTATTTTATTTATTTATTGGTATACTGAAACATGGAAAGGACAGTGTATGAAAGAGCTTCCTATAACTTGTCTGCCTATGAAAGGGACAGAGAAGCTAGTGGTTTTACTTGATACCAGCCTCATTAAAGGTCTTTCCCTAAAAGTCCTACTAAGGAAGTCCTTTTCAGACTCCTGATCCACAATTTAAGGTTTTTGAAACACAGACATCCAGCAACTATTCTTCCCAAGACGCAACCAGAATAAGATGATTTGTCCTATTCTGGGGTATTACTGCAAATTCTGTCAAACTGATAATTCAGGATAACGAAAACACATTCTAAGATGTAAGTATATACCATGAAGCACAAAATTTCCTAGGTGATCTGACTTTTAGAAATGAAAACAAATTAATATTTTTATGAGGATGATGAAATATTTTTCCTTAAAACAAAAGAACTGATTCTTTGAATTCATATTCTTTTTGTTATATTATATGAACCTGTAACTATTTAAAAAATGGAGAAAGAAAAGACAAATATAAAAGTGATTACAATTTCATAAAATGCTTTTAAAGAAAACAGATACTACTAAATATCAAGAGGGAGCAATTCATGGTGGTGTTTCCAAAGCTACTTAGAATCTGTTGGTGTTAAGAACAAAAATAAGCAGATACATTTCTCTCCAAGATTATCAATAATGTCAATTTCCTCATCTTAATGGTTAAACATCATTAGTCAGATATTTAATCATTTGGGAGATAATGGGCTTTATTCTCTAAACCATGAATCAGAAAACTGCCTAAGGCAAATGAAAATCCAAGAGTTGCACCGAGTCTGCTTAGTTGGCTATCTTACCTGGATGTGACCTTGCCTTTTATCTTTACTTAAAGAGGGGGTTTTTAGAATAAAACCCATCTGCTTAAATTTCTGTATACTTCTTATTTTCTCTTGGATCTCAACTGCTATAGTCTATGTCCTCTCTTCCATATCATTCATTCTCCTATTGCTTCTTTTTTCCCCCATTTCCACTTTTCCTAAAAATGAATATAATAGAAATTACTGGCAAAGTCTTCCATTTAAGAAATAAGTCTCTTTCTAAAGTGTCCTGTTTCACATGCACAGTGTCTATATGGCCCACTCTCTAGGAAGCGTGGTCACTGAGAAGGGTTGTGTACCAGGTGACAGGAAGCAGGAAGCGCGCTGCAGCAATTCACTAATCAGTTGGGCGTGGAGGCTCTAGAGATGAGTACATCTCTCTTAAAATCTTCATCTAATTAACAACATATGCTTACATATGATCATCTTTCCACTTCTAAACCCTGCCCACCAACATTAGCATGGAATCAGCTATGAAAAATTACTAAGACCTTTGGAAAAATATATGCAATTTAAAGTGAAAAAAAAAGAAAAGAAATTAATTACTTCCTAAGCAAAAAGGATCTCCTTATTGGTGGCTACCTGTGCTCCTTACCCCCCAAAGTAAGTCATCCTAATGAGAAACACAGTATCAATTCCTAATGGGTAGAATCTCATCAGCTGCACATGCATCTGGGACTCGCATCATTCACACATTACGATGAATTAACCGAAATGGATGGCTTTCTTCTTAACATATGTTTCAGATGGGGACACGGGAATCTGATTGTGTTACTCTGGGGAAGAAGAGAGGAAAGAGCGATGACAGCTACATTTGAAACACAGAGCATTCCTCACCATGCTGCATATTCAGGGTACTGGCTCCGCTAAGAGCAACGGGGATCAGGGAAACACTCAGGGAAAGACCCTACAGACAAGCCTCAGCTAGTCCACATCTGTCCAGGGATGACTTCCAGGGGACAGTGAGAGAGAGAAAGAGAACTCTCTTCTCTCCCAGTCAGGCCCAATAATCCAAAAATTCAGTCACGTTACAAGTGATGCAGGTTGTAATTATCCTTAAATTTAAGGTACAGGTGCATATTCCTATGGAAAAAGAGCCTGTACTCTACCAACTGCCTGCATACTCACTTTGGAATGTGCACGGCCTCTTGTTAACGTATTAACAGCGTCTTACTAAGCCTGTAGCCTTTTGGGTAATAATCCTCTAAAAATGATGTACTCAATTCTACGCTCCCTGATTGCAACACATGGAAGACAGAGCTAGGGGAGTAATGCCAAGAAAGGTCAGCCACATTCTCGGGGGCCCTTTTGTTTGAAGCCTCTAACCCCCGGAGATGTGTCAATCCCTAGCAATGTCTCTATTAAAGACCTGTCAATGGAGACAGAGGCAGCATAGGGGATTGCTAATGACTCCTGTAACTGGAGCAGGCAGGAAACACTAGATGCAAGCTGGACACACTCCCTTCAGGCAAAAGGAGTCTTATACTGATGTCTGAAAAGTCAGAGCACAGAGAGGTCCACAGGCTCTTCATGAGCATTTTCAATGACATCACTTCAAACACATCTATAACTCCAGCTGTTAAGTTTAGTCTCAAACAATGCTACATAATCACATTCACAGGGATGTCTCACAGTGACCAGAAATAGGGAGCCTAATGGAAAAGAATGATTCAGGTTCACTGGGAGAAGAAGAAAAAAAAACCAAACAATAGCTTTGTCGTTGACAGTGTGTGTTTTTTAACAAAGAGCAATGAAAACCGTGTTTAATGTCCATAGCAAACATTGAAGCAGGCGACTATTCCAGATGACAGAAATGGAAACCGTGCAAGCCAAACCAAGCGCTGCCTCTTCAGAGTTATCACTGGCTTGCCTTAATAGGGCATGCTTATTTTGTTTTTCAACTTAATGTCACTGGTGGAGACACAATACCTGCTTCTATGCAGCTGTAATCCTCCAGCCAGCTATTTGTCTCTGGCTTTCCTGCCTCACTCAGCACCAGCCTGGAATGCAGCCTTTTCGGAAGAGGGTTAATATAATTAGAGTAAAGCTAAGCCATTATACTGTGTGAAAAGATGACACCCGTCTCATATTGGCCTAGCAACAAGTTACCCTTTCCTCAGCAAAGCTCATCTGTCAGCTGTCAGAGGTAAGTTCCCTTTCAAGTAATAACATGCAGGAAGCATCTCACCCCACCGTCAGTCGGGCTGCAATCGCCAGAACTGCTGCACGCTTCAGTGCCTCTAGTTAGGAGCCCTCACCCATCTCCTTTATTAGAAGCCTGAGCAGCGCTCCGGTGCTGTTCTAACAAGAATCAGGCAGCAGGATTAAGCACTGTGACAAAGAGGATCTAATAAGCTAGAAAGTGGTGCCCCTACAGCCACGCTGGCTGCCTCCCAGACAGAGATTCCCTCTGCGCACTCTTCAGCGGGATGGCCCGGCCACAGGGGAAGCATGCCAGCGCCATGATTAGCGATGACCCTCTGACCGATGCTACTATGAAGATCATATATCACTCAGAGGCTTATTCTGCAATTGCAAATTGGATTTTCCATTTTATTACCTGCAAAAGGATCACATATGCTTCAGATACAGTAAGCTTTGCCGCGACTGTAATTTTGTAAACACTAAATCATGCAAAACAATCAGTCTCCTTGGGAGTTATAAATGTGACTGAATGCAATAGGCAATTGCATTAATAAGCATGCTCATTTTCACTTATAGAAACTGGTTGTTTTCATAACCACATGATTAAGAATTTTACCTGAATGTTCAAAAATCCTGAAACATATGGCCAGTAACGTTACTGATCACATATTAAGCAATTAAGGGTGTCTGAGCAAATTTTTTCACATCATCAAAGCAGGAGTTCCTTCCCTCCTAATTCTAAAATATCACAGAGCTCTTTTAAAATTAATTCTCTCTATAAGCCCGGGTCTCTCACTCATAAAAATGTAAGGCCGCGACCTGAGAAGGTAAAACCAGCAAACCCTGGCTGAGTGGGCAGTCTATCATTAGATTACTAGATTTGCCCCAACCCAGGAATCATTCACCCTTCAAGGCATCTAGATGGGACGTGCTGACAGCTGAAAGATCACCCCTGCTCTGCAGTGAGTCCACACAGAAGCTAACCACTAATGACTCCCCCACAAAATAAAAGCTATGTCGGCAGCTGCTCCAGATATAAAGAGAATCTCTATAATTCTTATTACTAGGTAACAGGTTATTAATTATGGAAGTGCATGATTATAGAAAATAGCTGAAGA